GGTTAGAGCGCAGGCTTCAGAATCTAAAGAGCTGGATATGATGTGAGTTGTGTGACTTCGAGTAAGGCTATATCCTGTTGCTGAGGAGGCTCAACCCATGGGGCTCTCGACCTGGGATGTGAAGGTCCTTGGCTTCATGCAGGAAAAAATTCAAGATCAAACAATTGAGGGAGAGTGAAAACAAGTTTATTAAAGAAAGTGTACAGAATGGACTATTCCATAAGAGGAGCATGGAGAGAAGAGATAGGTAAACAGTTTTCTTCCTTCCTTCAAGAGGAAAAGGAGAACTATTAACTGGAAGGAAAAATAAAAGGGCTACCCCATAGGCAAGGCAGCCCCAAACTTTCTATCTGGCTTATATAGCTTGGCTTAATACCGTGCTAGTGAGAAGGCCAAGACTTTTCTGGAAGCGAGGCAGTGGTTTTTCTGGAACCACTAGCCTTCCCAATTTCTGACCCCATTAGGTCCAATCATTGCTATCATTATCCTAAACTGTCATGGCACAGGTGGGAGAGTCATCTAGCATGCTAACACTGTGCAGTACTCAACTTATGCAACTGAACGCAGCAGCCTGACAGTCTCCAGTGTACAGAAGAGAGCATGGGGCTCTAAACTGAGTTAAAACACTGCTAGCCTACAAAGAATGGTGTTTTGCTAGGTTCTTTCCTCCTCTGAAGGGTGGGTTGAACAGAGACTCAGGGAGTTGAAAAGACACGAGGCACTGATAGCATGTTGTTTATTGGCTGAGTTTAGTGGAGTTCACAGAGCTCTTCGTAGGCTCACAAAGCCCATAGCAGTGCTCTCAAGTGCTTTCTCCCTCTTGGAGCTTGTAACACACAAGGAGAATGTTCATAGTGCACTTTCCTCCCTCTTAGAGCTCACAGCACATGGAGCTGAGCTGAGCCGAGATAAGCCAAGGCTGCACCAAGCCAAGACCATCGGGGCTGAGCTAGAAGAACCAAGGCTGAGCAGAGCAGGGTTAGCTAGCTAGGCAGAGCTAGCTGACCAGGTTTTCCTGTCTCCTAAAGGGGCTGCAGACAGTAGTGGCTCATTGCCAAAACCAGACTGCTACACACACATGTGTGCATTATATTCAACAGCATAAAACAGCTGAGTCATAATTACCTAACAAGTGTGCAAGCACAGTACAACTAATAACATAAGATATTTACACTGTGGCCTTCAAACAGGATAAGATAGGAGATGAGGGAGGCAGACTAAACCATCCTGACTCTGTTTGCAATATTGACAGGCAAGTTAGTTCACATCTCTGAGTCTCAGCTTTGTCATCCATAAAATGAGAGCAATGAATTCTATATTAGGTACAGGAGGCAATTAATTCACTTAGCTAGCACCTGGCACATAATAGACACTCAATACATGTCTATTCCCTCTCGTTTTCTATGTCGAGAGATAGATTGTGGATATGAGGAGTAAGTCTGGTCAAAGGAGGCAGGGTAAGGCCAGCTGGGAAAAACAAACAGAAATCTGCAAGTTGTTTATATCACAGGAAGTGCTGGTGGTGGCCTTTCTGTCCTGAATTGAGCAAGACCTTGGACCGATTCCTCATGAGACTAAAATCTCTGGACAATTTTCAGATTAATCAGATGATTCTTGTTTTCTTTCCTCCATTCTTGCCTTCCTTCCCATTTTTTTTTTCAAGAGGTTTTTGCTATAGGGCATGTGCGCTCTCCAGAAAGACAGAGACAGAGAAGCAGAAAGCGAGAAATCCCCCCCCAGGGGCGATGGCCACGCCACAATCCCTTCTCCTCCATTCTCCTCTCGGGATCTCGGGCACATATGCACACATGCCTGGCATGAGTTTAAGCCACCAGATTCAGGACTTGAACCGTGGTCGACTACATGGGATTCCAACAACATAGCTGTTACACTAACTGCTGGTCCCCCCTTTTCATAACCTTTATTCATACCTACCTTTTAAAGTATGTTCTGTGGCCTTGAGGTCCTATGTTGAGTTCTGTGCCACTCAATCTGTGGGTTTAGGAAATTACGACCTACAGATGGAGATAGGATTCTGGTGTGAATCCCAGCACCATTGCTAACACACCCTATGACTGAGTTTATTTTCTCATCTATGACATGGGTTTATGATAATGTCTATTTTATATGATTTTTCAGAGGGTGAAATGTAAGAGTGCACTTTGTACAGTGTCCTACACATTAAATGCCTAGCGAATGCCTATGTTAACATGACTAATTTTTAAAACTCATGGTTGTATTGTAACATGAAGCACAATGTGGGCAAGTACAAAGGAGGCAGAGATTTCAGTTAGTGGGAATTAGGGAGGTTCCTGGAGAAGGACATTCAACCTTGAGAAACAGGCAGAATTTCAACAGGTGTTCTTGGACAGAAGCTATATTATGAGGAAGAAGTGCTATAAGCAAACACACGGAGGTGATGCCACACCCAGAAGGTCATCTTTGTCCTAATAATTTAGACTCAGGAGACTACCATAGGCACAGTTAGCATCAGTCCACTCCAAGGATATGGGCAGGAATCAGTTTGCTAACAAGGCTGTGTCGGGCATTCCTTGGAACATCCACACAGCATTGGTGATGATTCATCTCCTCCTCAGAGGATGGTCAGGAGATGAGATTCCCATTAGTAGGTGTGTTTTCAGGTCCACCTAATCTTCCGTATGCCCCACAGGATCTCCATGTCCATTAACAGTCTCAGAATCCTGCAACGGTCCTGCACAGTATAAGAGTCACCAAAACTGGAGAGTATGGTGTCCCCATCAGGTGTTTATTATTCATTCATGGTTCTTCCCAGTCTAGATATCATTTACCAACTGGGGTTGGGGGTTGCTATAGCCATGTTGCCTAGCAACATAGTTTATATCCTGTGGTTATCAGGTTTCCAGGGGAACAGAGTTGGTGAGTATAACCCTAGGTCAGGTTTCCATGGAACAGGGGTCAAGCTTCAGTTTACCTTTACTCACAGATGGGGCATGTAAACAGCACATACTCTAGTGCAGTGTTGGGGCCTTTGGAAGCTCAGAAAGCTGCAGGAGATGCAGGGAGGAGACCTAAAGGGACTTGTATTAGGCAGGGGTAGGCATAAAGGAGAGGGAACTATCAATTGAAGACTTGCTTTGGGCAAGATCCAGTGCTAGGCCCTTTCATATATTATCTCAGTAAAGGGCCTTGAATGCCCTCATATGACCTCAGCCAACAAGAGATAACACACATGTGTACACATACACACACAAAGGCTCCTATGTGCGCCCCCTGAATGATGTCATTAATGTCAAAGCAGTCCTATAAGGTAAGCATTATTGGGCCAGCCTGTAGCCTAGTGAGCTGGATCTCACATAGCTAGGTGCATGTGCTTGGGAGCTCAAAATCTGACAAGATGGAGAAATGAAGGGGAAGGGATTACAGTATGGTCATACCTCATTGGGGTGCTTCCTCTCTCTCTCTCTCTCTCTCTTTCTCTCTCTCTTTCTCTCTCTTTCTGTCTCCCTATTGTGAGCACACACACCCTTGAACTTAAAAAAAGTAGACATTATTACCCCCATTTTACAGATGAGGAGAGTGTGATTCAGAGAGTCCGAGGAACCTGTGGAAATTCACAGAACTAGAAAATACAATCAGTCAAGATTCTGATCTGTCAGATTCCAAAAATTGTGGGCTGTGGAGTCAACTTTCTTTGGTTGCATCCCAGATCCACTCACAAGCTGTATGGTCCTTTGTAAGCAGCCTAACTTCTCTCTACCTTAGGTTCCTCTTCATAGAATTGTTGTAAGGATTCAGTCAGGTCAAGATGTTTAGAACAAGGCCTGGCAAACAATGAGTACTTAATAAAGATTAGCTGTTATTACACATCCTCACTAACGACAATACTCAGACTTGCTGTGAAACCTATGGTAGGCCACAGAAGAGGTTTAGGTGCATATTTGAAAGATTACCTCTAAATGGAGAAAAATGAATAAATATGGTAAAATCTAATAGTGGAGTACTCTTGGGTCAACAAAAATGTGTCATGACTTTTCTGATGACCCAATAGTAATATTAACTGAGTGACAGTTAAATGCAATCGCTTGGAAAGGAGAATAAGATATGTTAAAGGAGAAAATGCTGGTTTTGGAAAAGCACTTATCATAAAATTTCATTTATATTAAACACCTCTGGGTGAGTAGATGTGGCTAGGGTAAAAAACAAAGAGTATATACCACCCTCCAGGTGATCTCTCCAAATCTCATCTCAGGTGACTATTCCACCACAGGGCTATTCCTGAAAGATGCCACAACTTCTTTCACCCCAGAGCCTTTGGGATTGCTGTTTCCACCATCACAAATGTTCTTCCTTTGCTCTGCAGAGTCAGATGCTTATCATCCTTCCTGTTTTACTTGAAATGTTATCTCCAACAAGAAGACTTCCTGGATCACCTTCACTAAGCAGGACCTCCCTGTTAGTTCGTCTCTTAGCATCTTGTTTATTTCCTTTTCAGAACTTACTCAGACTTGGATTATTATGCTTGTTTACTTGTCTACTTTCCATCTTCTCCATAGAAGAAAAGGGCAGGACCATATCTGTCTCATTCCCCTGAGAGGTCAAGAATAGAGTCCTGCACACGTAGGCCCTCAATAAAAACGTGCTGAATGACACAGCAGGGCTGGCGTGAAGGGGTCTTCTCCATTGCACGGCATACAATGGAGAAGCTTTCGTGCTAAGAAGAAAGATCTTTCTAGCTGCAATGCAACAGAGGGTGGCAGGCAGCAGGTGGAAGCAGGTGGGCCAGTTTAGGGTTCTTGAGCCAACCCAGATGTGGGGACAGGGTGGCTTAGATGTGAAATAATGGCTTCAGGGCAGGACAGGGCACTGATCCCAGGGATCTTTAGGAGAGGGATGTAGGGGGAGGGAGAGAAGCTCCCAAGCTCTGCCAGGACAGCCTCCTCCTTCCCTGCCCAGGGACTTTGGGCCTGTCTGCTAACACTCAGTTCCTGAGTGTTCCTGGCTTTCTGTTATTGTTTCAGGTCCAGCAGATGAAGAGCCTGGACAAAGTGATGTCCTGGGCCAACCAGTTCCCCTGTGCCCACCCACTCTGGTTTGGACAGTTTGTTGGATTCCTGAACATTTATGACCCGGACTATGCCAAAGCTGTGTACAGTCGTGGGGGTGAGGTGCTCCTAGGAGAGGGTGGGGCACCCAGAGAGCAAAGGGCCAGGGCACGACGAGGGGAGGAGGCCTGGGCTTGAGTAGCTGACACTGCCTGACCCCCCATTTATCAAGTGTTTTCTCGAAGCCATAGTCCCAGCTTGACCAATTTTCTCCTTCTCCTGCAGACCCTAAGGCCCCTGATGTGTATGATTTTTTCCTCCCGTGGATTGGTGAGTACATTCTCTGTCCTTCCTCTCCCAGACCCGTGTGCTGGAGACCTGGATCCTGCCCTGGCCACTCAGTCAGTGATCCCATCAGCTAGATAACCTGGCTCATGTCCCCACCCTAGCTCTGCTGCTCAGTGGTGGTGGTGGTGCTTGGATGGGTGGGTAAGGGGGGACAGGGGAAAAGCAGGAGAACTCCTGGCTGGCTGAGGAAGTGGAGCCCAGGAACCTTCTTTTGCTGGGCCTGTCTTCTTCCTCAGACAGGCAAGGCAAGGGCTCTGGAGAATGTGACTGTGAGGAAAGGTTTTCTGGAGGAGCTGGCACCTAGAGTTAATCCTACAGTTTTATTAGGTGGTGATGTCCAGGGCTGTCCTGAGGAAGGGTGTGGTGGTAGGACCTTGGCTGGTGTCACCAGAGGATATGAGGCTTTGCGCCTGAGTGACTGAAAAGCAGAGCTCATTTGGGAGATAAGGGTGAGCAGGGAGAACTGGTTTCCCTTGAATGCCAGGACTAGGAGCATGGTTTGATGTTGAGGATAGATAGAAGTTGTTGAGTATTTTTGAGCCAAGGCCAGACTCTTCTCCAAAGCCTTTCTTTTATTCTCGATCCCACGGTATTCTCGGCATCTTCCTGGGAGCTGAGAAAGGGCAGGGACAAAAGGAAGGAAACATTTCCAAGACTATGATCTCACCCTGTAACCTCGGGCTATCTTTTGTGGATGTCAGTGATTCTAACTCTCCCTTCAGTGATCGAGGAAGGATAGAATGAAAAGACAGAGGATGGAGGAGGATGGGGTTCCACCTGCGGCCACAAAGCACAAACATGGCAGGTTGTTCCCAGGTCCTGAAGCCATGGTCAGTCTCAGTAGCTAAGAGCCAAGGCCCAGCAGGCTTCCCTCTTGCCTGACTGTCCGTCAGGAAGATCTACCTCCTCTGCCTGAGTTGAGTGTCATGTGACACAAATTCATGGAGCCTAGGCTTTGCAGGTATAGCTAAGAGGCAGGAGCTGAGCCATCCTACCCTAAGGAAGGAGCTTACTGAGTTAACAGCTGCCACCACTGTATGCTGAGGTCCTGGCAGCCTGAGGTTGGGCACAGAGGGCAGTACCATGTCTAACTGACCTGTCCCTGGAAGACTCCAGGCTTGCAGTTGGGGAGGTTTGGAGAGGGTGTTCCCTGGTCCCAGGCTGCCAGGGGTGGGGTGATATTGCCCTGACTGACCAGTCCTCCCTCTCCCATCCCTTCCCCAGGAAAAGGCCTGCTTGTTCTTGAGGGGCCCAAGTGGTACCAGCACCGCAAGCTACTCACACCTGGCTTCCATTATGATGTGCTGAAGCCCTATGTGGGCGTGTTTACCAGCTCTGCGCATGCCATGCTGGTGAGCTCCCTGAGCCAGGATCCAGGAGGCTGTTGGCAGTTGGACCAGCCCCTCCTATCTTGGATTTGCCCTGGGGGAGTGCAGGTGGAGCTCTGTAGGAGGGGGAGTCACCGAGGCCCTGAGTCCCCATCCTATCTGCCATGGCAGCTGAAGCTGTGCTCTGTGGATACCTACTGCATGCTGCTGCTGACCAGGACCTGAAGTTCTGGGTGTCCTGGCAGCCCTGATCCCTGACCCCATAAGGAGACCCAGTCTTCTGTCTTCTCAGGCCCAGGGGCTCTGTGAGGCCTTTATAAGGTTCCTACTGTAGCAGTTTGGCTACTATACGACTATACTACTATAATAGCTAAAATAATATCATTGCATTTCATACCTAAAAGGGACAACGGGTCAGTCTTAGAGTCATAGGGCTGGATAATCCCTAGAGGTTATGCAGGCTAGCCCTTCTCCTGCAAGAAACTCCTCCCAGTATTGCTGCAGACCTGACTTACACATGCACTGTACTAGGGAGCTGTGCTTCTTGGCCTTCCTTTCCCCTTAAGGCTACCATGACTGGGGAAAAGTGTCTGTGTGCTGCACTGACTCTGTCCCCTGGTCCTGCCCTCAGAGCCTGAAGTCCAGAGGCTGCCAAAACCCTACCTGCCTCACCTCGCATGCCAGCAGAATGACTACAGGGCAGGGACAGGGTATGCAATTGGAGGGGGATTAGTGGCCAAGGACAGGCTATGGGGCCTGGAGGGTAGGGAGTCCTCCTGCCCAACCAGCCTCACATTGCTTCCTATCTCTTCTTCCAGGACAAGTGGGAGGAAAAGGCTCGAAAGAATAAGAGCTTTGACATCTTCTCCGATGTGGGCCACATGGCACTGGACACACTCATGAAGTGCACCTTTGGCAAAGGAGACAGCGGTCTGGGGCACAGGTCAGCAAGCAGCTTGGGCTGACCACTCTCTCCCTGAAGCCAACCCAGAGAGAGTTGGCAGAGCTCCTGGGCCGTGGTCTAAGTGAAGATAGGAGCCTGCCAGGGACCACCAGCTTAGTAGAGCCAGGCCTTGCTCGTGGTGGGGAGACACATTTGGCTTCAGTTAAGGGCAGAAAATGATGTGTGGGGCAATTTCTGGATAGAGTTGCTCTGAACTCTTCCCTGGTCAGTGTCTGAGCCCTGCCTCTATCCCACCCCTGCCATACAGGGACAGGAGCTACTACCTGGCCATCAGTGACCTCACTATGCTGATGCAGCAGCGCATTGAGCAATTCCTGTACCACAACGACTTCATCTACCGGCTCTCCCGACATGGCCGCCAATTCCTGAAGGCCTGCCAGGTGGCCCATGAGCATACAGGTGGGCCTCTCCTACACAGCCCTATCCTAGGGATCCTGTTTTGCTCCTACAGGCCTCTCTCTCCCATTGCAAGGACCTCAGTTCCCCTTTGGGCAGAGGATAGGTTTCCTGGCAGTGATGCCCTGTGCTCCTGGTCTAGACCAGGTCATCAAGGAGCGGAAGGCAGCCCTGCAGAATGAGAAAGAGCGGGAGAAGATCCAGAACCGGAGGCACCTGGACTTCTTGGACATTCTCCTGGGGGTTCAGGTGAGCACACTTTTGCCTGACCCCACCTGGGAATTGGTCCCAGGGATTCTTTAGACCACCAGAGTTCACTGACGGCAGAGGAACTGCTTAGTATTTTTCCTACTTTCCCCAGAAAATATGAACTGTTCCTTGACTGACCCATGAAGCACAGCAACAAAGGTTCATAGGTGGGTAGATGCAGGCTATGTGGCAGGCTGTGGCATCAGGAAGAGATAAAATTAGGAATCTGGTTCTCATGACAGTGGCCTGAAGGCAGTCTAGACTTCAAAGATCTCTGAGAATCTTGGCACTGTGGAATCCTAGACTCTTAGACTTCATTCATTCATTCATTCAGTTGATTTTTTTTCTTTTCTTTTTTTGGAGAGGTTTTTGCAATATGGCATGTGTGCTCGCCAGAAAGACAGAGAGACAGAAAGCGAGAAATCATCCCCCAGGGGAGATGGCCATGCTGCAATCCCTTCTCCTCCATTCTCCTCTCGGGATCTTGGGCACGCACGCACATGTACCCGGCGTGAGTTTAAGCCACTGGGCCCGGTACTTTAAACCACGGTCGACTACATGGGAGTCCAGTGACATAGCCATTACGCTAACTGCTGGTCCCCATTCAGTTGATCTTTTATTCCTTCACTTCACAAACTCACTGAGCTCCACCCTGGGTTAGTCTTGTGCCAGGATGCAGAGATGGCCCTGCCCTCCAGATGCTTGCAGTCTAATGGAAGAGACAATGGCAAAAGGGTCCTCTTCCAGGTAACAGTCCATGTACCAAGTGAAGGGAGCTGACAGCTGGGGCCAGATAAGGTCACAGATCACTTGGCTAGAGGGATCAGGGAGGGTGTCATGGAATATGGGACATCCGGCTGGACTTGGCACATAGATAGGAATAGAAAGGAAGGTGCTGACCCCCAATCTAAATAAGATCTTCCTCTCTCTCCCTCAGACCTTCATTTGACAACTATTGTTATGAGTTCTTCACGGCACCTACTTCAAATACCTTGATCTTTCTTCTTATTCTTTCACCAACCCAGGATGAAAATGGGACCAAACTATCAGATGCAGACCTCCGGGCTGAAGTAGACACGTTCATGTTTGAAGGCCATGACACTACCACCAGTGGTATCTCCTGGTTTCTCTACTGTATGGCCCAGAACCCTGAGCATCAGCATCGCTGCAGGGAGGAGGTCCGTGAGATCCTGGGGGACCGGGATTCCTTCCAGTGGTGAGTGAGGCTGAGGGTGAGTCCAGTCTACCCTGTTTGGCTCCGGGCAAGGGCTGTGCTCACCCTGTCCTGTGCTATTCAAGAATGACAAATCCCAGATAGACACAGACCTGTCCTGGAAATCAGGTGAGGGTAGTAGCAGCTGTCCTGTTTCCTTCGGCACTATAAATAGCTGGGGGGAGGTGAAAGGGGCTGAAGGTGTTTCTACCACTGGGCCAATTTTGCCATAATGGATTATTTTCAGATGTGTCACATAGAGAACTCCACAAGCGGTTGGAGGGGTGATTCTATCAGGTTTTTTTGTTTGTTTGTTTTGTTAAGAATTTAGGTTGGTTCAAACAGTTAACAAGATGTCTTCTAAAAGGGATTGGTAACTTGGGGAGTGCAAGTTCAAGTACTTTTCCAGGATCCAGGAAGTAAAGGGAGGCAGACGGTTCCAATTGTTAGCCTTAGAGTCTGCACATTCATATAGCCCAACCCTCACAAGGTGAGATGACAACTACTAGGGAGAAATTACATTTACATGGCAAGAATATACATTTGGGTAGAGTTAAAAGTTCCGAAACAGGGCCAGTAGGTGGTGTGGTAAAGGCGGCTGGGTCCTACATGGCTGACTGAAATAATAATGGGACTGTGTGTGTGTGTGTGTGTGTGTGTGACCAAAATCTTGAGAAGAGAATGGAGGAGAAGGGATTGCTGTGTGGCAATCACCCCTGGAGGGTGCTTTCCCATTCCCCCTGCCCCTTTCTGCCTCTCTCTGATGTGTGCGCCTCATAGCAAACTTAAAAAAAAAATTCAGGGAACCAGCAGTTAGCGTAATGGTTATGTCGCTGGACTCCCATGTAGTCGACCGCGGTTCGTGTCCCGGACCCGGTGGCTTAAAACTCACGCTGGGCGCGTGTGCATGCGTGCCCAAGATCCCGAGAGGAGAATGGAGGAGAAGGGATTGCGGCGTGACCATCCCCCCGGGGGGGTGATTTCTCGCTTTCTGTCTCTATGTCTCTTTCTGTCTGTCCGGCGAGCGCATGCGCCCTACAGTGAAAATCTCTCAAAAAAAAAAAAAAATTCAGAAACAGGGAGCTAGCCTTGTAGCATGGCAACAAAGTAATGTGTGGAGGAAGCTGGATCCCACACGACAACCATGTTTTGAATCCTGGCCCATTGTCTTGAAAAACATGGGGGGCACATATGCACAAATGCCCAGGATCCCGACGGGAGGGTGGAATGGAGGAAAGGGGTGTAACCAGGTCCCATTGGGAGGCTCCCTCTCTTTCTGGCATATGCACATGCCCTCTGGCGTAAAAAAAAATTAAAAAATAGGAGAATTTAACTATAGCCTGATTTCATATATCCTCTTGGCTAAAAGAATCTTTAGAAATTGCCCCAAACTATCTTGTTTTATTTCACATTTCCCCCTTTTGCTCAAAATCTTTTCATAGGAGAGCACTGATGGCCAACGTAAGAATTTGGTTCCTCATGGCTGGGAAGGCTCATTCCTAGGAAGTCATGTCCCTTGTTAGGAGCGGGGCTGGGGTGGGGGGACGGGGTAGAGGGTGAAGAATGTTGATATTTACATAGATGTTGGGACTAAGGCAACAGAGAGAACACAAGCACAGCACAGCCGGTCATTTAAAATCAATGTGTTGCAATAGCTTGATGGATCCCTTCCAATATCCAGGCTACTATAATCATAGTTTTGATCATTGACTTTAAGCAGTGAGTAAGGCATAGTGTTACTACTTAGAAGCAGCAAACATGACTAACATGCTTACATCAATTAAAGATATTTAAAAATTATTATTAATAATAAATATAGTTAATAACAGTAATAATTATTAATTCAGATTTAAAAAGTGTCCCTAATCCTGAAGGCAAACAGCTAAACAAGTCCTATAGGAGGTCTTGCTTTTCAGTGTCAGGGCTATTTGGTCTCTTGAGTAATTCTATGTAGTTAGGTTTCCATGGGGTTGTCAGAAAAGTCATGACGTATTTTTCTTTCTTCCTTTCTTTCTTTCTTTCTTTCTTTCTTTCTTTCTTTCTTTCTTTCTTT